TGTGTGTGTGTGTGTGTGGGGGGGGGGGGGTGTCCAAATGTACTTTTTTTTTATGTGAGAGGGACACGTCCCCCTCACATAACTGATGCAACACCTATGCCCCTGGACGAGGCAGCTGATGTTTCCTGTTTTAAACACAGTTCATGTTCAGATACATTTTGTGATGTGTACCTTAGAAATAAGGAGAAACTAATTGTGTCTATTCCACATTATAATTTTTTTTGTTGTTCTGCTGTTAGTAAAAGATCATTGGAGCCTGGTTATTGTCCTCTGCCTGCAGTAGGGTGTAGAGTTCATCTGCTAACATGCTAACTCTTGTAGCCTGTTGCAAATGTTTGGTTCAAGACATTGAAAATGGAGATGGTTATCACTGCTCTGGTAGACAAGCTGTTAATGACAGTGTTATCTGCTGGATAACATTTACAACAAAGTAGTTTTTTTTTTTTTTTTTTAGACAAACGTCAAAGTTTGGAGGAATTCACCTTGTGGCTACCAAATACAACTGAATGACGACTTGAAGCTTAGAAGTTACCCTGGGGTCCTTTGTGACCTTACTATTATTTCACACCTTGATCTTTGAATGGTCTTTGTTGGTCCACCACACCTGGGGAGGGAACAAGGGTCTTGAATTTCCTCCATTTGTACACAATCTGTCTGACTGTGTATTGGTGGAGTCCAAACTCTTTACGCATGTTTTGTAACATTTTCCAGTCTGATGAACATCAACAACTGTTTTTCTGAGCTCCTCAGAAATCTCCTTTGTTCCTGCCATGATCCACTTCTACAAACATGTTGTGAAGATCAGACTTTGATAGATCCTGTTCTTTAAATCAAACAGGGTGCCCACTCACACCTGATCATCATCCATTGATTGAAAACACCTGACTCTAATTTCACCTTCAGATTAACTGATAATCCTAGAGGTTCACATACTTTACCATCACGAATATGTAATACTGGATCATTTCCCTCAATAAATAAATTACCAAGTGTAATATTTTTATCTCATTTGTTTAACTGGTTCTCTTTATCTAATTTTAGGACTTGTGTGAAAATCTGATGATGTTTTAGGTCATATTGAAGCAGAAATATAGACAATTATAAAGCGTTCATAAACTTTCAAGCACCAGTGTATCTATGTAAATCTTGTAAGCTGGGCAACCGGTCATTTGAGGAAACTATACTTTATAGTTTTTATATTGATAAAAAGTATAGTTACCTGAAATGATTGTCCACCCCCTGGCTTCACCACTGCACTTGGTGGTGGATAAATCTGTTCCCTCCACTCGCCAGGATCCAAACTCTGCACCACCTCAGACAAGCCTGGAAACAAATCCTTCCTCTTCTTATGAGTGTAACCTGCAGGAGTATATCTTGAACCAAAAACATTACATTTTACTTGTGTTCCCTGTTCAACTCCAGTTCAGACAAACCCATGTCACAAACTACAAACATTCAGTCTTCATGTCCCTCTGCGATGGTGGGACTCTTGTTGTAAATGTAAACTCTTTGGTCCTGTGGTTGTGCAAAGTACTTTATAAATAAAGCTGTTATGGTGTAGTACTTGCTGTGGTGGAGGAGATGACATTGTTTGCTCTTTGTCTAATGTCATGTACTATGGAAGCCCATTTCCGCCATAAAAGAAAAAGTAAAAGCCCAACAGGAAGTCAGAATTCTGACTTTTAAAGTCAGAATTATGAATTTAAAACTCATAATTATGACTTTTATTTTTATAATTGACTTTTATTCTTGTAATTATGACTTTTATTCTCATAATTATGACTTTAAAAGTTGAAATTATGACTTCCTGTTGGGCTTTTACTTTTTCTTTCATGATAGAAATGGGCTTCCATATGTTCCTGTTAACCCTGTTTTAGTGAATTTATTTTAGTTGGTTTGTTTTGCAGCCCACCAGAACCGTGTGTCAGACATGGTGTTCTCCCTGGAGAGTGAGTGGGTGGTGAGCACCGGCCATGACAAGAGTGTAAGCTGGATGTGCACCCAGAGCGGCAGCATGTTGGGGAGACACTACTTTACATCCTGGGCCTCCTGCCTGCAGTATCCTTCACTGACTTTGTGTTGAACATAGAAATAAATAAAACTCATTGAAGCCTTGACTCCTCACTCAGATATGACCACGAGACGCAGCACGCCTTTGTTGGAGATTTCTCCGGACAGATTACTCTGCTGAAGCTGGAGAAGCAGACTTATTCCATCATCACTACTCTGAAGGGTCACGAAGGTAAAGCTACATACTACATCCTGTACATATCTATATATGCAAGTTAGTACAGGTATTTATGCACAAATACTTGCAAAGGAAAATCTCATTTAGACAGAGAGCCTCCTTGTTTTTAAATTATTTCTTTTTTCAGCTTCATGTAATTTCCTGGCGTCATGCTGACAGAATTATTCTCCTGAATAAAGATTCAGGAGAAATCTGGATCGTATTTAAACTTACAGAAACGTATGTAGAATTAGAAATGTGTAGCACTTAAAATCTGGAATATAATAATAATAATACTTTATTTGTATAGCACCTTTCAAACAAATGTTACAAAGTGCTTCACATTAATCAATTAAAACATCATAAATGACGTCAGAAACACACACACACACACACACAAAAAAAAATATATATATATGCATTTAATTCAATCATTATTCTGTTAAAGCAAGTGCATAGTTCTTCATAATTTACAGTGAGACAATTTGATCTGTTGATGTTTTTGTGTGTTTGATCACTTACTAAGAAATAAACAGTCTCTAGTTGTCATAGTAGTTTCATTTTAATGGAGTGGGACAGAATATCAACTAAAAATCCACAAAAATCACAAGACATAAAAGTAAAAAAATATGGTAATTTCCATGTAATGAGTGAAATAAGTACCTCTAGTCCCTTACAACTCAGTCAGAATTCTGGCTCCTAAAGACTAGTTATGTACCAATCTTTGCCTTTGGCATGAGGCAGCTGTGGCTCAGTGGTTAGAGCAGTCTTCTTTCAACAAGAGAGTCGGAGGTTTGATTCCACCAGTATGCAGTCACATGTCGAAATGAACATGGGTGAGACACTGAATCCCTCATTGTTACTGATGTGCCCCATTGTTGTATGAATAAAGCACTGATTAGACCCTACAGAATGATTTCTTTTGATTATCTTTGTGGAGATGTAGCAGAGTGTTGTATGAATGTGTGTGGAGGTAAATGTGGGCAAAAATTGTGTTGTAGAAAGCTTTGAGTAGTCTGGTTGGCTGGAAAACCACATTATAAATACAGCTCATTTACCATATTCATTCATTTGACCTTTATTTAAACAGATAAATCACAATGAGCCTCGAAGACTCATTTACAAGTGACAATAAGTGGTGAAAGTGACAACATAGGTTTTGGAGGCAAAAAAAAATCCTAACATGCTCTTAATCTTTGGCTGAAGATTAAAAACATGAAAATGAAAAAATCATCACACACAAGCACATAATGACGCGGACATTCCACGGTGGGGGGCGCAAGGACGGTGAGCATGTCCAAAGACAACACATAGAGGCACTGCAAGAGTTCTGATAAGAGTAGTAATCGCTCAAGTTTACATAGTTCCCTCTGGAGAGATCCGTACACTCTCGGGGGATGCAGAGGACGGCCAAGGATGATGTCAGATAGAATCCAAAGAGTCCTGAAATGATGACAGAATGTTTATTCAGCCGGGCCCCTCTGATTGGTCAGTAGACTTCTTCGGTGGTAGAAGGGGGGAGGGGCAGAGCATCAAGGTTTACATAGCTTCTAGGCGAATTAAGATAAGATGGTCTGTCAAGGCCAGTCAGGAAGCCGAATTCAGTTAAACGCGATTGTTTTGGGGACAGGCAGAACTTTACAGATTATGTCTACCTTGAGTCTGTGTCGGTCCTCTCTATTCCGAAACGTCCAAATTAAATTGCCGCACCACTGGACCGTGCCTGAGAGTAATCCCTGAGATCTGATCCATCCTGCCAAAAGCATTTGAGTCTGGGTGCTTGAGGCACGAACCAAGCCATCAAAAGGCAAGCAGCCCGACCAAGGTCAAATTTGCTGCAGACGACTTTCTTGTTTGTTGATAGACCAGGAACCAGCTGAATCCAAAAAGCAGGAAACTAGTTATATGGCGCACAGATTACAATCAGTCCACTACAGACCCTTCTGATCACTTCCTATGTGTATAAAGCACACCAGTCTACCTCCATGGGCAAAACAAAAGGGATTCTTACCAACACCAAAGAAAAGACTAGTTGTTCTGCACAAAGCTAAAATAAACTTCAGTAGCTTTAGCAAGAAGCTTTGTAAGAAGGTGACAACTGATGGAGTGATTATTTGAAAATAAAATAAATATGAAATGATCACTAGTTGTACCCCTCGGTCAGGCACTCGTGACACATTATTATTAGTGAAGATCTTGTTAATGGTCTGAAAGCATTTGGGACCACATTCATTAAGAACACCTTTGGTAACACTCTACACCGTAATGGTCAGAGTTCTTGCAGAGCCTGCAACCAACCCCAGCCCCTGCTCAAGAAGACCCATCTACAGGCCCATCTTAAGTTTGTCAGTAAGCATCCAAAGAAAATAGAGAAAAAAAAGAAAATGCTCTGGTTAAATGCAACCAAAATCAGGGTTTTTGACGTAGATTCAGCTTGCTGTGTTTGGAGGAAGAGAAATCGAAAGTTACGTATGTAACTACGGTTCTATGAATCCCGGATGACCGCCAGAGGGCGGTGCTGAAAGCACTGAATGTTCCCTTCGCGCATGCGCTGATTCGAGTAATAATACCAACGGAGTCACAGGTGTGACACGGATGACCAATCAGAGGCTATATAGCCCGACGTCATCCACTGCTCTGCTCCTACAGAATCTTCTCGCGAAACGCAAGGATTCTGAGTGACGGAGAAGCTCTGGCGGTCATCCGGGATTCATAGAACCGTAGTTACATACGTAACTTTCGTTCTATTTCATCCCTCCTGACCGCCAGAGGGCGGTGCTGAAAGCACTGAATGACTAATATCAACGATGTCACAAGGAATCCTAACACCTACCTCACTGAGGAGGCCCAGAGGACCCTTGTAGAAGAACCTGACCCAGGGGATGAGGGGTGGCCACGTTAACTCTATAAAATCTGGTGAATGTGCTTGGGGAAGCCCATGATGCAGCAGCACATATTGCTTCCAGCGGAACCCCTCTCAGGGCAGCCCAGGAAGCGGAGACGCTCCTGGTAGAGTGAGCCTTCAAGCCGACCGGCAGGGAGCCGGGCCCTGCAGCATAGGCGTGGCAGATGACGTCCACGATCCAGTGGGAGAGGCGCTGTTTGGAAAGAGGACAGCCTAACCTAGGGCCTCCATAACACACAAACAGCTGGTCTGAATGCCTTATCACGGCAGTAGCTGCAACATATGCCTCCAGTGCCCTTACCGGGCACAATAATGCAGACCCCTCACCAGGCGCAGGCTGAAAACGTGCCAGCCTCAACGGTTGGTTAGAGTGAGAGTGAGATAACACCTTTGGTACGAATGCAATGTTTGGCCACAAGGTAACACACGAGCCCTCAGGGCCCCACCTGAGACATGAGGGGCTGATTGAGAGAGCATGTAGCTCGCTGACCCTCTTTGCTGAGGTAATAGCCAACAAAAAAGCCGTCTTACATAAAAGCCACTTGAGGTCCGCCTGCGACAGAGGCTCGAAAGGAGGACGGCACAGAGCTTCGAGAACCAAGGGAAGGTCCCAACCTGGTGCTCGTGGAGCTGTCGGCGGGTGTGACCTACGGGCACCACGCAGAAAAAGAGAGACTAGATTATGGCTCCCTACCGTACAGCCATAAATGCCAGCGTGATTAGATGATATTGCCGCTACATAAACTTTAAGCGTCGAAGGACAGCGACCCTTACCAAGTAGAGACTGGAGAAACTCCAGAATGGTGGGTATTGTACAGGAGACTGGATCCTTGTTGTGATCCGAACACCATTGGGAAAACAGGCGCCACCTGTTTTCGTACTGCTGACGAGTAGAGGGTGCCCTGGCGCCCAGGATGGTGCGTCTGACGGGGCTCGAAACTCCAGTCAGCTGCTGTCCTAGCCTTGCAGTGGCCACACCCACAGCCGAAGACGTTGAGGATTGGGGTGCCATATCAGTCCCCCCAACTGAGA